ATCGGAGCGGTCTTCTGAGCAAACCAGAGCAGTTGGTTAGCCTAATCACAGAGGATCCAGCACACAGAAGAAAAGCAGTGAATTTCAGTAGTGAGTTCTTAACAAGAGCGGTTGTACCAGCCATGGGATTGGGACAGTCATCCTTCTCTCCCACTAATTTCTGACTATCACAACAAACATGAAAGATAATAACTCAGAAAAAGAAAACTTTCTATCAATACGGATGCTCTCTAGTAGCTCCTTACTTTCTCCCCATAACTAAACTACTACTCTGCTAAAATTAAAACAAAGAAAAGGCAAGCTTGTCTGCTATGGTTTAAATGTTTGTCCCCTCTAAACTCATGTTGAAGTTTAATTGCAACTGTAACAGTATTAAGAAGTGGGACCTTTAGGAGGTGATTAGGCCATGAGGGCTCTGCCCTCATGGGTGGGATTAATGGCACTATAAACGGCCAGTTTGGCCCCCTTATCTCCCTCTTTGCCTTTCTGTCATGTGATGCCTCCCACCATGTGAGGATGCAGCAGGAAGGCTCTCACCAGATGCTGGAGTCGTAATCTTAGACTTCCCAGCCTCCAGAACTGTGAGGAAATAAATTTCTGTTCTTTATAAATGACCCAGTCTCAAGTATTCTGTTATCACAGCACAAAACGGACTGACATTGTCCTTGTCTCTTTAGCCTGAAATTAAAGATTAGAAGAGAGGCACATGCAATCCCTGATGCAGAAGGTACCATTGTTCTTAGGGCAGGTGAGACTCCATCTGTAAGGATGAGAAAATAGAGCACCACACATGCAGGTTCCTCTGTTCCATAACTTGGGTAACATTATGAAATATGAAAACAAATATCCTACTTTAAAAGAGTTACTACTAGAAATAGAATGAAATACTAAAGTATCTCTAATTGTCACTCAAAGTAATTTTGAAGTACATTACTTCTATGAAAAATGAATACTGTGAGAGCTTCATATACTTTTAAATGAAAAACATGTTTACTAAATTAATAATGCAGTAGAGAAAGTGAATGGCTGTTTGGAACTGACTGAAAATCGTATCAGTGAAATAAAACAACATGTAGAGAAATTCTCACCCGTCTCAGAAGAGAGGATGAAGAGAAGATGGCTGGAGAAAGGGTGCAGGAGTCAGTTAGAAGCAGGCTGCAGTGGGGGAACACGTGCATGATATAGATGATGCTGAATATATTCAGTCTCTAAAGCAGAAATTTAAAATAACCAGAAAACTGAGAATATCCAACTTCAACAGTAATCACAGAGCTACTAATAAAGTAAAGAGATACCAGGTCTGGACTGTTAAAGGTAGCAGTGAGGCTTTGGAGACGTGAGCTTGCTTTCTCCTATGAGAGTACAGGTTCTGGCCTGTTCTGCTATCCATGTAACTAACCCTGATGCAGTACCTGGCATATAGTAGGTGCATGATAAATATTTTTTGAATAAAATAATCAATAATTTTATGGGATTTTAAATTAGTACACATATGTAAGGGTAATTTGGCAACATCTACCTTGAAAATACTGATGCCTTTGCCCCAAAAACTTCAAACAGAAATGTATCATAATAAAAATAATTTGACAGTCACATAAATCCAAAAGAAAATTATCCATACAGAATTTCCTATAATAGTAAAAAGTATTTAAATAAATGAATAAATCTTAATGTGGCCCAAAATAGAGATTGTTTAAATAAATTATGATACCCCATGCAATGTACTACTGCACAGCTTTGAAAAACAGATGATCTTGTCATACTGATATACAAGAATAGATACAAATATACTACTGAGTGAAAAAAAAGTTACAGAGAGTATTATACTGAGATCTCATTGCCATAAAAAAAATAAAACTGCATGTACTTAAAGCATTATATACAACATACAGAAGATTATACACCAATAGGTTTACAGGAGATATCTCTGATAGGGTTACATGTGATTGTTTTATAATTTTTAATCTGGCCAATTTTTTGGCTAGCCTATATTTTGTATTATTTTCTTCAAGAAGCATATTTTATAATTTAAAAGCTCTAAATAGTTACACACCTTTCATACTTGAGGAGTGTGACAGAAATCTGAACATTTGGAGAGAATAAAAGCATACATTCTCACACATTGATCCGTTCTTTTTAAATGCTTCATAAAAGAAGGACGAGGGTAGGTTAATAAAATACACGGCCAGAGAAGACAGGAAAGCCAGCTGAAGGGGAGATGCTTGGAACACGGCCACATGTGACATCAAGACTGTCGCAGGGGCTCTTTCTTTTAGTGAAACCCCGACTCCAGGGCACACAAAGACATCCAGAAGAGGAGGGTACTTCAAAGAAAGCCACAATGTACATGATATGTAACCTTACGGACTTTGAAAGGAACAGCTTTCTATTTACTAGAAACTTGGGAAATATCCAAGTAACTATTTTAAGATTTCACCATAAATTCCTTGAAAATTTAGGAACATTTTCTTTATTTTTTTTTTTCCTTTTTGTCTTTTTTCGTGTCCGGCAACCGACTGCAACCCTCACTGTTGCCCCCGTACCGGACCGGGGACCGGCAACGGGATCGCAACCCTCAGTGCTACGCCCGCCCCTCGCTCAGCCAGTGAGCGGGAACCGGTCTGTATGTGGGATCCAAACCCTCAGTGGGAGCGCCGCCGCGCCCCCC